GTCGAACAGAGAACAGTCCAGAAAGCATCCATAAAGCAATCTACAATCTAAAGCAGATGAACACCTATGACATCTCTCCCGACAGAAGCAGCAACATCTTCCACTGTCTGGTGGAGATAAATGACCACTCAATACATCAGGAGATCCAAAAGTACCTGAAGTCAGAGAACAGATCAGAGAAGGAACTCTCTGAGATCCACTGCTCAGCTTTGGCCTTCATGCTGAAGATATCAGAAGAGGTCCTGGATGTGCTGGATATGAAGGCATACAGGACATCAGAGGAGGGGCGACTGAGACTGATCCCAGCAGTCAGGAACTGCAGAAAAGTTCGGTAAGTCCCAGGCCTATATTTAGCAAACATCTCACCCTAGAATTTGTGCTGAAGGTGAAACTAAGACTAAAATAATTTTATCTAATAGTAGGACTTGTCAGGACTCTGTGAACTATGCTGTAGAATAACCATTGTTTGGCAAGTTCAGTGTTTCTGCTGCCTCACTTCAGGGCCAAGCTAACGTTACTGCATAGCAGTTGCATGGCTGTCAAAGTGGCTTGCTAGTTTTCAGTACAAGAAGACAACAATAATCTAATATTGACAGGCCAACAGGACAGCAGTGTGTCAGGCTGCATTTTTGGAATTCCGCCTGCTCGAGAACAGTTGCACTTATACTGTCTACTAAGTATTTCAAATTTGAAGAGATGATTACAGATCAAATATGTAAGTCTTTTCCATGTTTGGTAGTGAGAGTGAAAGCATAAACTTAACTTGCAAATGCATTTGTTTTTGGCATCCAAATACCAAAATCTCAAACGTACCAGTCAGTGTGCAGCTGAATTACGACAGAAAAATACTGTTGTAGCGATAGTTTACCACTAATGTAATATTCATATATTTTAAAAACTGCTATACTGTGTTGAAGTAAACCATGCTATTTACATAATCAGTTTTACAACCAGATGTGTTCATTTTAATCAAAGAAAGCATTAAAGTTATGATCAGAATGTAACACATGCTCTACTTTTTTCACAGTGTAAGGTATCTACTTATCTATGTGTCTGGATCCTCCAGTTCCAGCAGTCTAGGACAAAGGTCAGGCAGAGAGTTCTGTTGCTTAGCAACAATTGCAATAGCCCATGATCCCATAATCTTGCCCATCAGAAAGTTTTCTTGTGTAATAGCACTTCCAATGGGGTAAAAATGTAATGGCATACAATCCTGTCTTTCATTCATAACCAATCAGAGATTCTCAGTGATATCTGTGTTTTGATTACAGACTAATCGGGAATATTTGAACCCATCAGATGAGATAAGATGAAAATCAACCATGACAGCTGCTATACAAATTATACTAGTCATTTGTTTTCTGTACAAATAAAATCTGATACTTTGTCTTAGCTTAGACTCAATAATCACTTACTTTCCATTACATCTGCAGACTTTCTGACTGTCGACTTTTAGAAACTCACTGTGAAGTCCTGGCCTCAGCTCTGAAGTCCAACCCCTCCAATTTGAGAGAGCTGGATCTGAGCAACAACAAGCTACAGGATTCAGGAGTGGCGCTGCTGTCTGCTGGACTGAAGAGTCCACACTGTAGATTGGAGACTCTCAGGTCAGACTGCTTAATTTAATTATTTCTGCATCCAGGTCCATAGTATGCCTTAGCTAGAGGTACTAAATGAAAGGCAAATAGACTTGTTTCTTAAAGGGGCTATATGTAAGTTTTTGATTTTAATAAATCAAATTTTCATTGCCTTATTGTCAATGGGCTCAAAACTCACTCAGAAATGAAGCACACGCCTATTTTCTCCGTTGCTTGCATCAGCCACTACCCTGCTTTTAATGTGAGGTCTCTGGGTCGGATTCAGATTTCTGTATGAAAGTGGTTGTGTTTCGGATTATGCTCGCTCATGAGTTCAAGCGAGCATGTGTATGAGCACACGCCTGGAATCAATCTAAAAACCACACCGCTAGTGGCCACTTGAAACTCCATAATGCCCCTTTAAACAAGTTTTTTGAAGACCTCATCCAAAAAGCTTTTTCAGTTTTCAAATTCGGGAATCTATAGTAGATCAAATTCATTTTCCAATGGCCATTAAAGAAACCCTTAAAACACTTTCACCTTTGCTTCAATTCAGTCCATATTCCATGAAATGTTTTTATGTTATAAAATCTGTTTTAGGGCATAGACCGAAAAACTGAAAATGTTTCCTTATGTCTCACTAACTTTCAGAAATGAGGATGTATGTCTGCATTCTGGCTGGGCTATGCTTTTCTAGTCTTGTTAGCTACATGCTTTATTCTTTGTTCTTTTATTCAGACAAATTGATTGCTTGCTACCAGAGAGCAGCTGTTCTTCTCTGGCCTCGGCTCTTAAATCCAACTCCTCCCATCTAAGAGAGCTAGACCTGAGTAATAACAAACTGCATGATTCAGGAGTGAAGCTGCTGTCTGCTGGACTGAAGAGTCCACACTGTAGACTGGAGACTCTCAGGTGAGGCAGCTCATTTTTAGTTCTGTGCTTTAATACAAATGTGAACAAACATCAAGCCCATTATGCTGCTCCCCAGCCTGTTTTCTAACATGGATTATTAATAGCATTATGAGCTACACATTTAAAGCCTAAATATTCTGTAGCAAAGGAAACCTCCTAACTCACCCCTCTGATATGTTTACAACTTTATTTAGAGCATATACTTTAACTGAAGCTAACTAACATTTTAAAAGTGTTACATTAGTATTTGAAAATCCATAAAACTTTAAATCTAGATCTCAACCTTCATCAAAAATACATAGTGATAGACATTTAGAAATGAGAATTTAGAAAAGAAATATTGGAATATTGTAAAATTCCCCCAAATTCTAGGATCAGTTCAGGATCTATATTCAGGCCAATTTAACAACGTTTAATAAAAAATTAATTACACTTTGTTGACATACACTGCTAACTAAGAAAACTGCGTGTTAAAAATTATTGGATTTTTGTTTTTATATTTTATTTTAATAAAACTTAATTTAGTTTGAGGCACTGTGGTTTGTCAGAGGGCAGCTGTCCTTCTCTTGCCTCAGTTCTGAAATCCAACACCTCCCATCTGAGAGAGCTGGACCTTAGTTACAACAAGATTCAGGGGTGAAGCTGCTGTCTGCTGGACTGGAGAGTCAATATTGTAGGCTTGAATTTCATTATATTCTTTGTTAAATAAATATTATATCTTTTATTTGTAGTTTTTTAAATCATTCTTATTGGTTATGATAAGGTTTTACCTACAATTCCGAGATCAGTACAGATCTCAGATGCTAGCAGTAACTTTGCTAGACAGTTCAACAACTTCACTGCTTGTTAGCTAGTTTTCAAAGATTCTCAATTGCAAATATTTTTATTGCCTAATTAAATGGTAAAGTTAAAAGTGAATTAATTACTTTGAAGTTTTTATATCTTTCTTAAGATTTGTTAAACATGCATATTTATTCAATTCTGTATTAGATTCAGTTTTCTGTATTTAAAACCTCCATGGCGGTGGTGAAATTATGAAATGTTGGATATTTTCTATGTTTTGTTCTTTGTTCAGATTGAGTTTCTGCAGCTTGTCAGAGGTCAGCTGTGTGTTTTTGGCTTCATCTCTGAAGTTCAACCCCTCCCATCTGAAAGAGCTGGACCTGACTGATAACAAGCTGCAGGATTCATGAGTGTTGCTGCAGTCTGCTGGACTGGAGAGTCCATATTGTAGACTGGAGACTCTCCGGTTAGCAGTCAGCATACTTGTTCTTGCAAGAATATAGTTTTTATCAAGTAAAAGGTAGGCCACAGAGCCAGCAAGGTTATATATTTGCCTTGACCTTGTTGTTGTGTTCTTCCTTACAGGGTGAAATAAGCCTTGAATGCAGCCAACAGATTTGAAAGATGGAAGTTTTGAGAAAAAGCCCTCACTTAAAGTGAAAGTGTTATTAAACGATTTTTAGGATTTTTTTATGTATTAAGAAACACAATGAACTATGTATTGATGTGTTTAAGTTCTGAGACACTATATATCATGTTTTAGGCTCTCAGCAGTTTTTCTCCTCTCACTCTCTCTGTTGTTTTTTCATAAAGTTTTGTCAACTAATTTTGTTAATGATCTCTAAAGGGGCAGCAGGAAAGGTGCCTAAGTGTACCACTCAGATGGGAAAGGTGAACTAATGAGTGTATCATACCGTAAAAACCTGTATGATACACTTTAGATGGAATATCTAAGAGTCAGAGATACAGAAATAACATAAACCTGCCTGAATTGACTTTTCCAGCCATTAAACACTATACGTCAACTGATAATCATAGTTAATAGGGATAATATTGCGTTTAGTAATATTTTAATGAAGGTATCTGTGTGTGTGTTGGTGTACCAGAACGAAATGAAAGTGGAACATTGCCTGCGTTGAAAAATGTTGAATGTCTACGAATGGCAATTGTGGTTGGTGAGTGACCACCACTAGCCTGGTAGAGTAGAAAGTGACCTGAAAATATAAACTTAGGTAAAGGTAAAGTACCTCAAATTGATACTTAAGTACAGTACTTAAGTAAAAGTAACATCACTGCACTTTTCTCTACACATTGTTGATCATTAGAATAGCAAGAAACAAAATGATGAGCCACTGATTAAAACATTGCTACATAGCGCTACTAGTGGCCATGAACTCCACAGGGAACCTTTAATATACATTAATCCCAAGGGTGTGCAGATTTGGATGACATCAAATATAATTTTTCACCTTTTTTTTTTCCTTCATTAATTAATCTGCTATGTCTTGGTATTTAGAAAATATATACTGTAATACATATGAATAATTTTGATGATTCATCCTACACTTAGGGGTCATATAGGCTACATGCATTTCTATAAAGTATTTAGACAAACAAAGTTAGCTGTAGAAACAGCAATTTCTGTTGCTTCAATACATGTAAAACAGCATTTTATTGACAGTTGCTAGCTATAGAAACACATCTCAGCCTTAAAAACAGTAAACAATATATTTTAAGAAGGTAGTATTTTAATACTGATACAATCAGTAAACAAATAATAGGCCATTTAAAGTATGTAATTATTTAAAAATAAAAGCACTTCAGCTCGACTCCTTACAATTTCAACTTTAATTCACAGTAAACAAAGTGTCCATCATCACACAGCTGTAGCCAAGGTAAAGGTCTGAGAAAAGACTACTTTAATCAACAAACAACTATGACTGGTGAAGTATTGAAAGAGTACAATGTGTGTGTGTGTGTGTGTGTGTGTGTGTGTGTGTCATCAGGAGTTGAACCTGGTGACTGCAGGCCACCCTGTATGAATTCTGATCCACTCAAAGTAATGAGCAACCTGTCAGTGAGAGAGAAGGGATTCATATTAATGTTATGTTATCATTTGTGACATTATTTGTGTAGCTGTGTGAGTGAAGCACTGAATATGAAACTGAAATTTTTGTCTTGGCAGTGTTTACGTTGTGCTGTGTGGCTGACTGTTGTTTTTTAAATGTATTCTTTTTTTCTAAAGAAACAAAATATACATGAAAACGTGTTCACACTAATGTCAGAGAAATGTGACATTAAAGCGATTTAATCTTATTTTACAAGAAAGTCGTGTGAATTCAGGATTCTGGAGACTTTTTGTATTAGACTTTATACATGAAAGCTGTGTTCATGTTTCTTTGTTAATATCATTATGAAGAAAAAAAACAAATCATGTTCTAAATATAATATATATATATATAATTTAAAACATTTTCACATTATACAGTGACATACAGTAACTATATATAACTGCATAGGCACTATCTCTATATTGCATTACACTGTATGCTAAACCATTATAAATCAATCTTCCCTGTTTATATAATAAATAAATACTTTTTTTACCTGTGTATAAACTCCAGGGAATCCTGGCTGACCACATCTCTCTCCCCAGCTGACAATGCCCCACAGGTAGGAAATCCCCAGTTCATCTTTACAAACCAGAGGACCTCCACTGTCCCCCTGACAGGAGTCTACACTGCCATCCAGATCACCTGTGCACATACAAATTACCACCTGCGCAATGTCTTTAAAGCAGTTGGTTTATGTGTATGTAGCTCATCAACCAGGTACACACCCACCTGCACACATCATGCCAGGTTTGAAGCGTCCTTTGTAGAATGTCTGACAGTTGGCGATGAGGGATACGTTGGCCCAGAGCAACACCTGAGCTGCTTTGCCATCTGTGAAAAGTCATCAATATTTAAACACTGACGTTATCATTTTCAAACTGACAAATCTCATTTTCCTCCATTCAAGCTCATTTACAATCTGAATGATTTGTATGCAGGTTTCAGAGCATTTAATTAATTTAGATATTTCATAGAAAGCATTTCATGCCACAAAATATGTATGTTGATTTTTGAATAATTATGATGTAATTAATATAATTACTACATTGATTTGTAACACTTTGTTCCACAAAATGCAATTTTGTGATATACATGATGTGGAGGTAGGGTTCATTATAAAAATATGACTAAAATATTTGCAAATTAGGTTACAATCAGATTATTAAAATACAATGTTAAGTGTAAACCTTGTGAAGTTTATTTTCTAACTTATTTTAAAGACGTTTTCAGCCCATTTTCCTCCTCACTTTGTATCACCCCAGGCATTTTCTTAGCAGCCCACGCCTCCTCACTTACAGTGTTACAGTTGTTGTAGTTGGACTCCACTTTTGAGGGAGTGGTGACATAATGCACATACCAGCGGTTCGTCCCCATCCAGAGATGCTGCAGGTGTGGTTGGGTTGAAAGAGTTGGGTAGACCAGGGAACACAGACGGCACTGACTGCTGGGTTGTCCACCAAACATTTTTCCTTGAACGGAAGCTTCTGCAGTTGAACTAGAGCAATGTCGTTCTCGTAGGTGCTGGCGTTGTACCTGCAAGTCAGTTATTTTAAATTTTTGCCCATTCTGTTACCATTCAGTTAGCGTTAATAACTACAGTCATGTGTAATGATTGAGCTAAGTAGGGTTATCGTTCAGAAAGATAGACAGATAGATAGATAGATAGATAGATAGATAGATAGATAGATAGATAGATACCTGGGGTGGATGCGAATGTCTGCAACAGGAACAATGTCAGTCGTGTCCTGAGCTCTAGACTTCTTCCAGAGAGAAAACTTCACCTTGAACGCTGAGGGGTTGGGCCTGGTAAAGAGAAATGGGTGAGAGACTATTATTATTATTACATTTGAAAGAGAAAGTGAGTCAAGAGACTACTTCTCCTACAACTTGTGCACAACCACTTCCCAAACAAAAGGTACCACCACTATTATTACAATTTTCTTAGTGGCCCAAATAGATGATATTTCTTTCTGGAAATTACATTTGAATAAGTGGGAGTTGTATTATATGTTATATCTTATGTTAGAGGATTAGACAATTATGTGTTCATGACATCAGATATTGGAGAGAGAGAGAGAGAGTCCCAGAGTGTTGCATTGTGAGCGGTTTGCAGCCTTAATGTTGGTGGTATAGCAAGTTTATACAACTCTATTTATAGTGTGTTTTTTTGATTCAATCAGTCCTGGTTCAAGTGTTTAGTTACTCCATTTTAATATACACGAGTTTCTGAAGGCTTGTGTTTTGCTGCCACAGAGGAAATTAATTCCTGACTAGTGAAAACATGTAGAAAGCGTCACCCAGCGTCTTTACTGCAGAATCATCTGTCAAGCAGCTAAGAAATAATGGTGTCACACTGTGTCATAATGACACTAAAGTAGCATTATTTCATGTTTATGCCTTTACAAGAGAAAAGCCTTCAAGAATGAAAACCCCCTGTCACTCTCTCTGGTAAATGTTGCCAACATGGCTATTCTGAAAGTGTGCATGTCTTCTCAAAGTCTTTTTCCAAAAACAGCTGTCAGAAAAGACGGGTCTTCTCATGATGAGGGTCGTCTTATATGCGGGTCAAAACCATAGACTGCGTGAAATAAGTCAGTGTTGTCACCATGATATCACCCATTGGTTTGTGGACTACCATTTTGGAGCCTTAAGTTTGGCATTTAGGCCGTCATCATCTTTTTTGGACCTGAATGTTACAGTTACCCTTAAGTTCATTGATTGTTAAATGTACACAGTGCAACAGACATGATTTGCCTCTCTCTGGAGTTTGGTGCTTGGCCAATACGTACAATAACTAACACTTCATGCTAATGGCACTGCATCGACATTTACTTGAACACTCATCTTACCTGACGCAGTGAGCAGCAGTGAGTACCCAGCATCCTCCGATATAAGCTCCTCCACAATCGATCTTCCTGTTCTCCTCCAGAGCAATCTGCCACTGGATCTGAGTCTGCAGACAGACAAACAAGGCAGAAAAGAAACAGTGTTCACAGGAACATTGAGTAGGTCAGTGGCTTCCCACCATTGTCTGTCTTTCCACGTTTTGAAAGTTGAAAATGCGGTGGCAGCACATGACCAAGGGGAAAAGAGTTTGGGAACTGAAATCAGAAATGATAATAGTAATAAACAGATGTATTGTAATTACACAGACAGTGAGTTTCTAACTGACCGGGTTTGCTGGGACTCCTCCCACCACTCGCTTGACTCGGCTGGTCCTTCCTCGTTCTTCCACTTGCACATGGTCCACTGTGGTAATATTGGGAATCCCGCAGTATAACTTGGACTCCAAATGCACCCTGTTGGCCCTAATTTCTAGACACACGTACAGAGTTGTTGAAATTCAAATCCGGCTCTGATGAGATCTGACATGGTCTTGGAAATTAAGGATGTAACCTGACTTGAGGTAAGAGATCACCTGATCACACAAATGGACACCTGACCATTTTAGCCATAAGTGGTAGTTGAACAAGACCATGGGTTTAATCTGTTTTTATAACAGCCTCCACTAGTTTGAGTCCTTAAACCAGATGTAAAAAAATAATGAGGTCCAACACTGATGTTGGGTGACAAAGTCTGGGGGTGGTGATGGAGCAGTGTGAGAGACCAGGGTTCAACTCCCCACTGTGACACCCACCAATGTGTCCCTGAACAAGACATTTAGCCCCTAGTTGCTCCAAAGGCGTGCAAACTCGGACATAAAAAATAGCAACTGTACGTCGCTTTGGATAAGAGCGTCAGCTAAAAATGAGTACAATGAAAAAAAATAAACAATGATAATACCATGCTGTAAAGTGTTACTGTTCATGCCACATACCGTTTTTGGGAGAGATGTACTCTGAAATAAAGAAAAAAAAACAAATGATCATTACCACCACCAACAACAACAGTTTCCTATGAAAGGTCCAACCAACTGGTGTTGATGTTGACTTCAGTTGCAGGCATACCTGGTATCAGGGATCTCTGCACTGGGTCTGTGGAAAATAGAAATATCTTACAAAACTGTCAGAATCTGCCAATAATGCCCCAACACTAAGTGGTAAAATATAACTACAAAATTACTACTGCACTGGGGGTGGTGTTCCTGAAGTTGGTCAGTGTTGAACACGTATTGGTTTCATTGGGCTATACTTTGTTAACGACATGCATACACTAAAGAGAAGACAAAACATCTGTTTCCCAAAGTGTAATAAGCTTGTCACTTTTGCTTTTAAAGTTTGCCCTTGATTTCGCTTTGGTCTGTCTGCTGGATTAACTGATTAATAAGAGGTGGAGTCTAACAAATGACAGAGACTGTCAGTTTAAACCTCAAGGGAAAAGAAAACTGCAACCGCACACAGAAAAGAAAGCTAAAGTTTCTGTGATTTCCAAAATTAAATAGAAGAAAATAATGCCTGGGTAAACTAATAAAAAAAAATGTCTCACTGTTGTACACTGATTTGAGTTTCTCTGATTCATCCTCGCCATCCAGACAGTCAATCTGTCCGTCCAGGAGTGCATCTTTATGCACACAAACACCCGTCTTGCAGCGGAAACTACCGTTCCTGCAGTCTGACAAACAAAATAATTCACATTGTAAAAGACAAGACATACCGGGTTATCAAATCTATTTGTGTGTGTGTGTTTTACTTTTGCAGCACATCTCATCACTGCGGTCGCCACAGTCATCAACTCCATTACACGTCTGGTTCAGAAGCACACACTTTGTGTTTACACATTTGAAGCCACACTCCTCCTCTGAAACACAGAGAGAAAAATGTCACAATCCTGGAAAAGTACACCAAAACACAAGAGACAACTTCTCAAATTGAATCCTGCATTATTGGTCCTTGAAGACAAATACTCAGCGACCCAGGGAACTCCAGGTCTTAGGTGAGGGCCAGACAGATGGTAGGTTATGAAGACCCATTCTGACTGATTGTAAACAGTCACAGACATTCAGGTAGCCTGCTGCACCTGGCTGGTCACAGATGAGGATCAGTGTTTTTTTGTGGAACAAGAAGATACTGCCAGAATTAGGTTTAGGTTTTGTGACTATGCACTGAATATCAGCTTCACCTTCAAGCATCCAGGCCAGCTCCTGGATATCTGGGCTGATACGGGTACCGCTGACACAAGTCTGCAAGCCATAATTTACCTGGGGAACCTCGCCTTATTTAACAGTTGCTTGGTGCTTGATAGCTGGATTATTTCCCTTTTCCACCGCATGGTACCAGATCGACTCGCCTCTACTCGCCTTTTTTGGTTTCCCATTGGGAAAAAGTTGGACCTGTATCTGCTACCTGGTACTTTTTTTTGTATCACCTCCATCGAGGTTCCAAGTCAGCTGCGGTGATACCAAAAGGTGACATGAAAACACTGCAGACTACTGATTGGTCACTATTCACTGCATCGTCATTGCAAGCATCAGACAGGAGCCAGCAACAGAATGTTTAATATTTTACAATTTTCGTATGCTGTTTCATAACTAAATCCACTTCTGAGATGTTTGTGCTGTGTTGAACATTACGTCGCAGCAATTTTGTGCAGCGAAACAAAGGGTTGGACTATATTCAGTGATGGCTGACAGTACCAAGGAAACCTGGCTGCTACGAATGAGTAAGTTGATGGCCATATGTTTGAGGATACACAGGACTAGCTTTCAATCAACCACCAGATTGCTGTAAAATGGATGAGATGGTGGAGAACGCTGTTGGACAGGCCTGGTAGATCCAAATATTTGGCAAGGGATTGCTGGAAACTCCAGGTGAAGAGAAAACAGATCTTGTTTATAGCCTCCTTGTGGAAGAAGCTGCTAAGAGCTTTTGTCAGAAGTTCAGTGTATTCACGTCTTTCTTTGTGATATTCCAAGAATCCCGTGGTGGCAAAAAGGGCTGCCACTGTGGTAGTTACAGATTCAAAAGACAGGGAGAGGAAAGACTTTAATGACTGAGAGAGGCGGATTATTGGGAAGCCTCAGCAACTCAGGGGTGGAAGGAAACACCTTGCATATGCTGTTGTAAACAAGTGCAGTGGAACTGCGGACCTTAATCAACAGGTATGCTGTGTGGATAAGTGTCAAGATTTGAGGGCACGTCACTGGCAGGACAGCAATAGCTACTAAAGGCAATGATAGAAAAGAATAGAGTAGAATCAGTACACATTGACCTTTTGGTGGTTGTGACGCCTCATAGCAGGTTGCAGTCGCGACCATCCTATAGCCAATCTTGTTGATCTTGTTGGAGATTACACACTCAGCGAGGGAGTTCTCATAACCTTGGCAGAGGATGCTAACACAGCTGTCTGGGTGCTGCTTGTCATGGGATGTTGTCAGGGATTTGTATGGAATGGAAACAGCGGCCACGGCACCACTGTAAGCACACACACAAGTCACATTGTGGCTACTGTATACTGTCACTGACAAAAAGCCATATAACAGCTTGTGGAAGGCATGTTTTTCATTTTGATGGTGCTACTGTAGGGTAGCAGTGGGTGGTCTACTTTTTGGCATGTTCTTCATTTATGCCAAACTGTACACATGCATATTGTAAAAATGCAATAAATATGTCTCCTCTCACAGTCGCTGCCCATATTCCTTGCAGATCACGTTAGCAGCTGCCATGTTCCAAAACTTCTTACACACCAGAAACTCCATCCCATCTTCAGTGCTCCTATTGTTGGGAATGGTGACCGTGACCACTCCTGTGACTTGGTCTATTGAACTTTTGAACTTCTGATGATTTTCTAGGGTGAGAGAGCGATAAAGGTGACAGTTACTATGTCTAGAAATCTAACAGTGATATTTAAAATAATGCACTGATTGTATCTGTGAGATTGAACCTCCGCAATTTTCCCCAAAGTGGGACATGGCGGGTTTCTTGGTCCGACATGAGAGAGCCATCATCTGGAAAACAGATCACCGTTGTGAAAATTCGGTTCCTGAATGATACAATTTCCATGTCCAAAAGCAGTTACATTCACTAATGTACTCTCTTGAAATGGTTGCACTATTTTATACTGATTTCAAATCAGAATCTGTTGGTAGTTTTTGCATCTTTTTTTAAGGGTTCTGATTCTTGACAAGATACATAAATGAACTATCTATCAATAGCAAATTCCTCATTCGTGTTTCTACAAATGTTCCAATTCCACACCAGCAGTCGATACCCAAACCTATACATGAATTACCTGGCAGTAGGAGCGGTAATTTCTATTGTCCCGCCCACAGACTGGGGTCGTGCCCTCAGTGGGACACAGATAAGGTGGTTTACATGAGCATTGTCCTTCGATGCAACGCTCCCAAGGACGACAAAACACCAGGTCACATGATGCACGCGTTAACCTGAAAAATGTTAAAAGATAGATCATAGAGACTACAAACACAGGTTAATCTCACATTACTTATACACAGATTATTACAGTGAGCTAAGAAAACACAATTAACTCTACTGACAGTAAGCCTTAGACAAATGGCAAAGGACAAACAGCTCCCAAGGACAAGGATTTCCCCAGGTAGTCAACAGTTGTATCTTTAAAAACTGAATATAATTAGTTGTTAGATTGTAGTGAACACAAACCCATTCATTTTGGTCTGATTCTGCTGCACTGACAATTCAGAGTCAGTGTTTATGTCAAACAAGGCAGCCTTAATGTGCATTACTGACAAACAGGAAGAAAAGGCAAAAACATAACAGACCACAGAAACTAAGAAGGAAAATTAGACATCCAAAGGAGGCCCAGCCAATTATAATATACGTACTTCTTTTCCAGACACTCAGGCGGACCCAGAAAATCTTCTCTTTCAGGGGTTGTGGTGGCCAGAGGGGTGGGGGGTTCGGTAGTCAACTCTGGTTCCTGCTCATCTGTAAATAATAGATCCTCATCGTCTAACTGCTGCTGCATGATTTGCACATCACCTACAGCTCTGGCTGTCTCCTGTTAAAAGTGTTGTGCAGAAGTTAAACTTATAACATTAAATAACTAAAGAAAAAGCTCTCTTGAAAAACTTTTAAGCTTGGGTAGGTAATGTCGATGAACCTAGCAAGAGACAGCTAGATTTTGAAGTATCTTACTGGAAAAATCCCACCCCCATCCTTCAGGCCTCCTTCCAAAGCCACTCCCCCAAAACCCATTTTCATGCGCAGCGAGTGCCCAGACACAGGTAGATAGGTCGCCAGGTCAGTAAACCATGCTTATTTAATTTTTGTGTCAGAGCATTTGATTTATTGATTGCTGTCCGGATCTAATAAGTAAAGAAATTCAACAAATATAGTAAAACATACCTCTGTAATACATTGCCTACCCAAGTTTAATACAAGTGATAAAAACACATACAAGTCCGACAAATAAAGACAAAAGAAAAATTGATTGATTGTTTTTAAACAATTAAAAAATAAGGATAAAAGACAGCATGAGTGAGAACTCACCGTTTCAGAGTGAACAACGAGAAGAAGCAGCAAGAAAAGAAAAAGTCCGGTCGATCTCATCCTGACAAACAACAAGCAGTCTGGGTTTACCAACAGCTTGTCACAAAAATGTTTTCTTCTTTTGTTTCCTGTGGTTAAAAATGCTGTTACTGATTGACAAAGGAAAATAATTACTTAGACTCGACAACTGCTGCAGATACAGAGAGACCTCTATTCTCTCTGTAAGGGAGCGCTGTGACTGACAGTCTGATATCTGCTCTGTCCACTGATGATGTCATCAATCAATCATTAGCTTGTCTTGTCAATGTTGACACACATACACACACACACACACACACACACACACACACAGACATGTGAACACAGGCCGGACTGGAGATTATTTCAGCTGACTGATCACTTACTGTAATGTCACATAATGAGTGGACAATGAAGAGACGGGGGAAGAGTTGTTTATGTGCATGCGGGGAAAGCCAGATTCCTGTAACCACACAAACACAAATATGTAGGTGGCACAGTGGGTCAGTACTGGAGGTTGTGGTTTGAACATGATAGGTACAAAAGTACAGGTGTAAATATCAAAATTGAATTCTACTCAGCTGCCAGCGGGGGACACTTTGCGTTGTCATCCTTAATGTTATTAGTAACTCCTGTGCTTTGTGACAAGTCAAAAAGCCTTCTGGGAAATGGCATGCTGGGACAGGCGACCCTGAATAGGATAGATGAATAAATGGATGTACAAATAAGTTAATGTTCAACATTGTATCAATAAAAGAGCATTTCAAAATCACTGTGTACTTATCTGTGAGACTTTGAAGTTTCAACTCTGTTCATTCTGATGATATTATATATTTTTCTTCTCGTCAATAAATCTCGTGCTCAGAGCCATACACTGAATGTATCTACTAACAAGTAAATCCTGATGTCTCTTCTCACTCTGAGCCATAGTGCTCCGTTGTTTCCAAAATTCCATTAATAACACATCAGTTAGCCAAACTGCTGAACTGGGTGACTTGTTTCCTTCATCACCATGAACACACACACAGTGAACACATACACTGTCCTGCTGACTCAGATAATCACTAATGCACCACATGTGGATTCATCAGCCAACAACAAACCCAACAAACACACTATTTCGCTGTTTGTTTGATAATGATTACAGCTGTTTTGGGGGAATTGGTGAGCTGTTTTAAAAGATTTATGTCTTCAAATGTATTATTGTTGTTTCAGGTTACCGGAGTCTGGGTTTTCCTAAATGTACACACAAACACAAAAATGACTCCCCCCTCTCGCTACACACACACCTACACACACACGATCGATAAGATGGGGAGAGAGAGCAAGACAGATGAAAGATATGCAAGATTGTGTGACCAGGCCTTAACAGCAGAACAAGTAGGGGACTCATTAAATATCAGTTACACAAAATGTTTTTGACTTGATAATAAATCAACGGACAAGTAGGGTGTTTTTCTCATAGACTCCAATATAATCAGACTTGCAACCAGCAATCTGCTGGTCATTAGATAGACTGAAGGTTTAAGGAACTCACGCATTGGCTTCACTTTTCAGACCTGGAGGTTGCCGCTTGGTCCTACCCAATCCAATGAGCAGCAGTGATTACCCAGCAGCCTCCGAAATAAGCTCTTCCACATTGAAACCTTCTGCCCATGTCTACAGCAACCTGCCACTGGATCTGAGTGCGCACACACACAATAAATTTACTGCAGACACACAGTTTATTGGCCAGATGTCATTAAATAACAGCTCCACCATGCTCTCTGCTGGTTTAGTCATTAGCATGTAGTTTATGGGGTAATAAAGATGATAAAATCAGATTAGACACAGATTTGCGTGTAATTGACCGGTTGTGTTGGCAGTCCTCCCACTACTCTCTTAAAGCGGCTTCCTCTTCCTCGCTCCACTTCTCCATCATCATTCACTCTAGCTGTTCAGGAATCTCACAGTTGAACTTGGACTCTGCGCGCCGTCTGGTGGCCTTCGTTTCTAGACAAAAACAGAATTGAAAGCACTGCTTCTGACAATAATTCAACTGAAATCATAATAATCCGTCTCCATTTTAAAGAAAAACATGCCAAAATGATCTTAAAATATACCTTCTTTTTTTTTTTTTAATAATTTAAAGTAGGGATTCCTGCAGTCCATTATATATATTTGTACAACAAAAGAACAAAGTGATGTTGGCTAACAATACTATAATAATCATATCACAACATATAATTATATGATTATAGCTATGTTTTACCATATTGTCAATAATGTGTGGTTGTTAATAAACCTGCTACAATCCCATAATGACCATATTGCATAGCCCACCATAAATATACCAACGCTGTTCATGTCATATTTATAGCATCTGTATATTAATCTTGTTACTGGTGAAATCTTCTGGTTCTTTAGTTTAGCTGATATTGTTTTATCTTGCTATTTGGGACAGAGATTACACTCATACTGATATCTGACTTTTGCATAACTTGGAATAAAGGTAGAGGTCTGGTTAACTTTCTCATTGACAATGTTCGGTGACCCCTGCACACAAAAGAGGATTAGAAGAAAATAAACATTTTTAAGTAAAAAAATAAATAACATAATAACAAAAGACAACTCTGACTCTTAAGGTGCATTTTGAACAAGGAACATCCAATCACAAAGTTTGAAATTATATTGCGTGCTGCTAACAGCGATCCCATGATAGCACTTTGTAAATCAGATTAATCTAAGATATTGGGTTAATTTTGGATGAATTCAGCAAGTATGTTTAACTGCAACAATAAAGGCCTCTGAATTTACATTTCTAATTCGCACCTCTCATTGTCATCTTCTCAGTAGCAACAGCAGCCGAGACTCATGGGTGTTGTAGTACATTGACATATCTAAGATGCCAAACTGTGGAAAAAAGAAAACAGAATTTTCCAAAGGTATGGAGAATAATCCACGGGAAATTTAACATACACAATGTGTGTGTAAACACTGGGAAAACATACACTGTTTTAAGAAAGCAGAGTTTCAAAACCCTGTGAGTTTTACTGCTGAAAACTGCTTATTCATATATATATATATATCATATACCATATACAGGTAGAAATTTAATCACAAAAATCAACATAGACCACCAGTAGCTAACTATGAAATAAAGTTAAAATGTTTAAACCAGATTCATAAGAGACAGAATGTTTTTTTTAACTAGAGCTTACGCTCAGATGACTTTTATTTAGTTCTGAGTTTGGAAAAAACAGATAACTGAGGAGACTTCATGCTGACAGTTCAGCTGCGTATAACTTCAGACAACGTGTCAATATTATAATGTTAATAAATCAAAACCAAATGGAACCAGAAACCATTCATTTTCATTTAGGTTGAATGTGCTTTTGACAGGATCTAAAATATCAAGACACATTTACACTTCAGACCCGTTTCAGCTTGAAACCTTGAAAAATTAATTGCGGTATTTTCTGTTTGCATTAGTTGGTACAAGCCAGATCTGGAAATAAATGGAGACACAGAATTCTGACAGACATTTAATCACACAGTTAAACAATAACAAGTTCCTAAAACGATCAAATTGTAGTACACATTGTAGTACACGTTCCTGATGTACAAGCATGATTGTTATATGAGTATAATACTTCAGAGAACAGTGCAAGCTAACTAGAGGTCAGATGGGATACATCTGTGTAAAAGTCCTGCATATATGCATTGATGCCACAAATGCACCGAAAGCATCAGTCGTGCACACTTATATCATCTCGATGTCTGAACTAGAGCATTATCCAACAAGTTGAGACAAATATACACTTCAAGAGTGCGTCCAGTGCATTTTTGGCAAAAAATGCAATCAATAAGACAGTACGAAGAGAGAAAAGAGGAAGGTATTGTGTCCTGGAGTGTATAAAGGCAACTAGCAAAATAATTATGGCTTTCAAAATGTATTGCACATATTTGACATGAAAAGTTTTTTTAGTAATTTTGGACAATACATTTTATTATGTATCACTGCTATAATATATGGTTCAATAATTTAACGCACACAACAAGAAAAATTAGAAACAAGAATCAGTGACTGCACAAATCTATCTATATTTCACTACTTTAGCCAGTTTGATGTTTGCAGTCCAGTCAAAAATTATGTATTGTCTTTCTACAGTTATCAGTAATACGCTCGTTTTCTTGTGTTAATTTCCTAAAAACTATTTATTCAGCAGCTAAACGCTTTTGTTCATGTTTGCTGAGTGTTCAGTTTAGCATAAGTATTGGGGGTTAGGCTATCGGCTATCTTTGGTGTCTAAAATCCTTCGGTTCAGGTTAGCTAACGTTTAAGTTTCATTTACAATAACTGTTTATTGCTATCCATCCTTCCTCCTCTGAATCCTTTCCTGCTTTTCTCTCAAACATTACGCTCATTTCACAAAATTTTTGGAGCCCTCAGCCTGTTGTTATTTCAGGATGACAAATACCTACACTTTGTCACGTCCTCACATGGCACTCTTAAGTGTCATAGTTCAACGCTAACAGGCCTATTACAAATAACAGAAAAGGTGGGAAACAAAAAGTCAACGTTAATTGTTTTTAAGTTAAGTTACATTACTTGACGTGACTTAACTTATGTAAGTTACATGACGTAATAATTTTAACCCAAAACAATAGTCTTTTCCTAAACCTTACCAAGTAGTTTTGTTGCCTAAACCTAACCAAATTACGGCGTTTCACGACGTTAACCACAAGTTTTATTTTGAAAGTCTAACTGAACATTGCATATTTATTATTGCTAACCTGACCGTGGAGCCCTACACAAAAACAACGCTAAAGGGGTCCCCAGGGCGTTAAAAAGTGATGCCAAGGGGTCTTAATCAAGTGTCCATATGTGAGGTCCTGGCAGGACAATGGGTTGGACCTACCTGGCAGAGATAGAACATCTACCAGTGTTTCCTGTTTTGACTGGAAAGATTAGGTACGCTGATAATATTGACTGGAAAGTTGTCTTTTTAAAGCCGTGATCCAAACATGATTGTCAAGAACAGTTGACGTTTGATAGAGCTTGACAGCTTCTTGTTGAATCAGTAGGAACGTCTTGTTTGTGACGGTCATAAAAAAAGTAATATAAAGTTAAAATAAAATGTTTTTTTCTATTTGGAAAGCAAAAGATACAAAAGACAGACTACAGGACTAGTTACAGGGGGAAAACATTTTCTAGGGGAATACGTGCAGCGCTTCTCTTTTAATGATCATACTTTAATACGACCAATCATTATGTGACAAAACTATAACTGCAAATCCTGGATCTGGATTAAAAATCTAAAAATAATAATAATACCTGAACAAGACAACTAACTACAAGTGATACTTATTTTGTTCTCATTATAAATGTAAAACACGTAACATAAACAAGGCCAAAGAAATAAGAAATAAAGGCTAAAGATTTACACACAAAGAGGCACAAGCATAGAAACAGTGCTAATAAAAGAAAAACGCCATGTCAGTCAAAATGAACAATGAACAATTATTCTTCTATTTTCATTTTATTGCACCACGTGGATCTCCATCTGTAACCGTGAAGCCCGTAATATTGGGTTGTATCGCTTCCTGCCGTAAAGCACATACAGTCACTTCTCATAATAAAAGAAATAAAGAGAATAACATGCAAAGCAAATCCTATAGAAAACCCTATCAATACATACAGCTTAACGCAGAGACACACAGAGGCACTGACATGAACAGCTGAACGAAACACATAAACCAAAGCCTTCTACAAAGAAAGGTTGTGACAATGAAAGGTTGCAAAGGGATTTTTAACAGATTTCTTAAATACTGCCTCTACTTCTTAACACAGATGATGGCCAGAAATAAAAGCATATTGTGAAAAAAAAAAGCTAATATATTTGTATATAATAATGTTATATTCCTTTATTTCATATTTCCATAGACAAGAATTTCCAGATCAGAAAATTGGGTTAAAAATCTTGTTACCATGCTGTGACCAGAATATTTTTATTCAGATAGACAGTCCTTGAGGATTCTGGAAATACCTTCAAAACTGCTTTAAGATATTCTGGGTTCCTGAAAGATCGGCAGAAAATTGTCTTCCAGAAAAACAGATGGGTCGCTCTGTGACACGAATGTAATGATAATAAATGAGAGGCATAAACTTCTTATGTATGCATACATGAGCGTCCGTCTTGAGCAATAATGCTGAAATAATTAATTGATCTATGCCAGTAGGCACATTAAATTAGCATATTTTAAATACACACACACACTATTATATATAATATTATAATTATAACAGGCAACATGCTAACAAGCTAGGAGTGTGATGATGAAACAGCACACTTTGTTAAATCAATCGTGTAGTAGCATACTGACTGACTGAACATTTTAATGATTGGGGCATTATCTATAATCACAGTTATAGTTAGTTAGAGTTCAATTTTGTTCTTGTTGTATAACTAGCAAAATTAGTCAACAACTCCACTGGCAGTTTCCTAGCATTAGCAGTTGATCTCACTATAGTACAGCCAGGGCACTACTGGGCCTTTACTGCATTTATTGCCACAACTCTTTTACATAGAGGACTCTGGTCTTTTGAGTAAAACTATTAGTGACTTTACCAAGAAACTCCTGAACATTTACTGCACTTGGCGAATTATGTTGTTCAAAAGTTTCCCATCACACAAGCACATGAAGAAAATAACACCCAAACTCTTAACAGGCACAAAATACACACAAAAAACAAAAAGGCACGTACAGCGAGACACACATATAATTTGGTCTTTAGGTTGATACATTCATTATGGGGAGAAGGCTAACTGTTACCACTGTCGCATTTAAGTCCAGGTTTACTGGAATCAATCCAAAAAAGTGCATCCTTCACCCCGGTGTTGGACATGGAAGCAAAAATTTGTTTTTAAAGATGAAAGCATTTCATCAAACCATGTCCCAAATCCACCTGGTACAAAATAAATGTACCTTTTTAGTTCGTGACAGTAAATACTTACACTTATACTTGGATATAGATCATGTACATATTAGTAAATAGTATCAAACTACTTGAAGCAAAAGGAGAACAGGCATGAAAGAATGCTCTCTTCTTCTGTTTTTATTGTGGTATTTGGAGATCATAGACTGTGCTTTTTAAGTAACATATTTAAGTTATATAATAGAATATTACTTAATATAACAAAAGGAGAACCAGCACATCTCCCCTGTCAACAGTCGGGATGTTAGCAGCTCAAACAGAACAGCGACTATTGAGATTAACCTTAACCCACCAATCCTTTCAGTATTTTATCAACAGAAGGTTGAGTAAATGCAGAGCGAATGTATTTTTAGTCATGCAAACATTTCTCAAAGGCAGACATGCTCTGTTTGAAGATATATTTTAGCCAATAAGGAACCATATTTCTTTGGCCAAGTAATGGTTAACTGAAGCTCGTGCCCAAGGCCTAGAAAACCTGTGTAGTTAAACTTTAAAAGACAGAGTCTGGTGATAGTGTTTGTATCCCCATTGTGTACATTAATATAGATTAGTCCAGTTTTAATAGAAATTTAGTAAAAAGCAACCTGCTGCTCTGCCACTGAGAGATAACAGAACTGAAACTACAGCCTGTTGAACATGGACACACACCGACTGACAGAATGACCGCAAAGTTGACTGACTAACAGCACAAGTTATTTTAAACTGTGTGCTAACTGTGTGCGCTTACAGCGGTTTGTGTGTGTTTGTTTCTCTTCTCTGTGTGCATATTGCCCAGTATGTGCAAGCTTGGAATGAGTAAGTAATGTTGTGTGTGTGTGTGTGTGTGTGTGAATAAGCCACAGTTGGTGAGAAGGCTGTGATTGCATGTGCACAGACATGTTTGTGTGCTGTGTGCACATGTGGCATGATCAAAAAAGGTAAAGTAAATCAAATGCAACGCCTATACACTGTACCTCTCCCTGCTGATAACATGAATGCACTCAGTTTAATCAGTATTCATGAGTACTCATCAGTAATCATGTTTCAACATCTTTGAACCTGAAATCCGTCAGTATTTATGATTCTATCCTAAAAAATATACATAGCTTTTTGTGAGCAAAGGTCTTGCAATGAGTGCTAACTTTGATACAAAATTATAATCTACTTTACTTTAAGGCCATGATTTGTTTGGTACTAATGCAAGTCAGTTTTTGGAACAGTAAAGATTAGATTTTGGGGCCCGTTCAGACAGAGAGTTGCAAGGCGACAGAAGATGCTAAGCATACAGCAAGACGACTGTAATCAAAAGGGTTAGGGTTTGTTGGGAATACTAATTGGTTTTCTCAGATCTCTCATCACTTATTGGTTTCCCCTTTGTGTTTTGACAGGTGATCCATACCGCATCTTCTCAAAAGTTTAAACATTTTCTTACCTTGTGCTTATATATCAAAAAGTGCAGCAGTGTTGCAGCACTCTCCCGCTCCAGCTGAACGCCTGAAGTCAAAATTGTCCCCTGTGCAAAGCCTCTGAATGAACACGCCCTAAAAGGAAACTCCTCAAATGTTGGTGTCTCCTTACTGACAGTAAAGGAGCCATTATTTACTATTGGTATGTTAAATAAATTGACATTTGCCGTTGAACCGTGGCTCTGCATCTACTGATAAAATCTCAGTTTTAGCTGGTAGACGTTAATAGGAAGCCTGAGCCTGTTTGAAAAGAGGTGCAAGTAAATAAATAATCTCATCTGAGAATAAATAAGGAAAAATAAAATATATGGTCGCGCGCGAGCAATGAAGAAAAAGGGAGTCCTGGTGGACATGTGATCTCACACTTAAGCTTCTTTGTAAAGTGGCAGTCACAACCGATTCATTCACAGCAGCTGAAGTTTGAGGGGAAATCCCCGGATGTTTCATATACTGTTGTTTTTACGTTGTTTTAGAGTATTACGGGGTGCCAACTGGTGATCCTTTGAGGCTGTTGAGGGCTGCATGGATCCTGAAGTGCAGTCTGGACTCCATGGAGTAGTCCTTGTAGTTCGTCCTGATGAAGAACACAAGAACTATTTCAGAATCTTTTTATAAACAAACAGAAATCGGTTTCCCTTTCAAGTGAAAACATTTTAGCCTCAAACTGGCATGAGTGCCTCTGTCTGTTCCATACTATTAAAACATGGCTGTAATTCTAGTGTTGTTGTGAGCCTCAAAGTGCACCTGAGGCTGTTTGGTGTTATGCTTGTAATTTTCCCTTTGAAGAAATACCAAAAATACATTTCATAACAGAAACCAGTTGGACAAGTGTCAGACCTTTTGACAAGGTGTACAGCAGTTTCAAGGTGCAGTACATAAAGGTCAAGTATGTGAAAGTATATAGAAGTGTATAAAGGTATAAAGTTATAAATACCATAATATGTATATTATGAGGTACCATTTGTATGTATGAACATAACTTACTTGGCATTTTCGATGTATGTAGTGGCCTTGGTGAAGTCTCCCTGATGTTTATACAACAGACCCAACTCATAGAGAGTGAAGGGAATCAAGTAGTGGTCATATCGGATGCGACCCTCGCTGTAAGTACACACAAACGCACAAATAGGAAAGTTTATCTTATCAGTCTCTTTCAATAAACACACCTGAACATTTCTGTCTGTGTGTCTTTGTGTGTGTGCATGTGTGTGTCTTACCTGGACAGCACCTGCGTGAAGCAGAGCTCAGCTTGCAATAACCTGCCCAGGTGTTTTAGACAGAGTCCCTTCAACATCTGGACCAGGCAGCTATCATCTGTATGAAACTCTGAGGGGTCTGAATGAGATACACAAGTAATGTAATTTGGTTGTATCTTAGCAGCACGTTAAAATGCAAGGCTTATCTTAACTGCGTGTTGAAGTTTATTCCTTGTCCCTTAATCTTTAAATGGAATGTATGAACTTCTAACTTCTGAAGAGGGCTAATCCCTGGAAGAAGAGCTAACTGAATGTGTTTCTTAAGTGTTAAACATGAGTTCAAACAAGTTCAGCGAGTCAGGTTTTAGATCAACCCACTATGACTAATGTCACTCCATTACTCAGCAACCTCCACTGGCTTCACATAGCCACTTGAATCTAATTGAAGTCACTAATGCTTGCATACAGAGTGACTAGTATTGATGCTTTATTGATGCTTGTATGCTGTTCCTCAAATGTAAGTTCCTTTGGATATCACTGTCTTTCAAATGAGTAAATGTATTGTAATGAGTTTTCAAACAACACTGCTATAGATTGTAAGTGGTGAGACAGCTGGGTAGAAGCCGATGAAATAGCTGTACCGGATAAATATATAATAGCATCATTAATATGGATCTAAAAACCTTTACATGGTATGATTCTGGTAAGTCATTTACAGTATACAGTTTGAACAGAAGAGAAGTAGGACAAGGAGAGAATCCTGTGGAATCCCTGTTTTATTCTCTAGTAATACCTCTACTAGTAATAGTAGTAAAAGGTGTTAGCAGTAGCGCTAGTAGCAATGGTATTATTTTGAACTTACTGGGGTCGTTGCGAAGCTGCTCCTCGGCCGCCTCTATGGTAACCAGCAGGGCCTCGGTACTGTCGGCTCTCTTCCCGAGGATGGTGAAACCGTTCCAAACGTACATCATCTCCTACAGAGAGAGAAAATATCATCAGTTACTACTGCAAACTTATTTAGAGGATATTCCCATGCTCAGTGCGTTCATTCAGCCAAAGCTTTCTGATAGATAAGAGATGATCATTTAAAAATCCCCAAAGGTGGTTTATCTAAATGTCCACATCCTTGAATTAAATACCCTGAATAAATCTGTTCAACTGACTACCACAGATGTGCGTAAATGTGTGTCCGGGAAAAATGTTTGTGAGTATACCAGTGCTGGGATGACCAGGGGGATGGGTTTAGCAGCTTTGTAGCGTCTGGACTTCCTCACTGCAAATTTCTCCGTCGGTATCGATTTTCCTGCCAAGCGCTGTTTCAGCCCCTCCACCTGCCTGCATACACAAATACACGTGTGTACTACTATAATTGTAAGGACCCTCAATAACATTATACATTCCCTTGCCCCTAACCTTAAACTAAATCTAACTTGTATCTTAACCTTGAAACCAAGTCTTAAACTGAAACAGCTCTTTGAAGAACAAAGCATCGGGAAAACTCTCCTCACTTTCTAAAATTGTCCTAGCTTTCTGAAAATGTTTTCACTTTCTAAACTTTAATCCCTGTCAGGTACTTCTTTGTGTATTCCTACATTTTTGAAAATATTTTTTAACCACAGATAATGCTGATTATCCCAAATTCAGTTTAATGTTTTAATGTTAAATGTGGAGACAAACTGACCTAAAGAGCTCCATGATGTCCTCCCCTGTCTTCTTGACTTCGTCTTCTGACATCATACTGAGGATGGCTGCTTTCTGGTACACATAGATAGCCTGCAGAGGGTTAAAAATTAAGATGGGATTTTGCTTACGTGATCCTAATTACGCTCAATCTTCTTTTTCAGTGTACAGTAACAGGATTTCTGTCATTTATGGATTAGTTGACACTCCCCCCCCACACATTTTTTTCCGTCCATGGATGAATGCATTCATGCAGAAGCACTTAAAGATCAAATATTGTGAATAGTTTTTGTAACAACTTACGACAGCACAGTCTCCATTTAAAAAGCCCTAAACAATAAACCCAAATAAATAAACCTCCCAAAAAAATGTCTTTTTAAATAAAAACCACAAGAAAGTCTCAATGAACCATTCAGTTTTATTTGTCTCTGGATTTTTTCCAAATAAGGCCACAAGGACAAATGGGAACACTGGGAGGTGCTATCTATAACCTGTTGGCAGAAGTTATCCATGTTTTACAAAAAACAATAAGGATTCTATAATAATAAAAATCGCTTTTTTCTCTTTATAATTAAATTATATGGTGTATTATCTTTGCAGGGTGTGTTTACCTTGGACCAGCGGCTTTCCTTGCACAGCAGGTCAGCGTAATGGTATGCCTGTTGCCACTCCTGCTGGTAGGAGTGAACCCACATTAGCTCCCAGTAACACAGGTGGTGTATCTGCTTCCACTCCTGCTGGTTGTTGATACACTCTTCGTACCTCGCCCGGGCCTGAAACACACACAGTAAATTTTATACACCAACACTGAGCAGGTTTGTAAATGCAGCACAGGGTCAAGTTAAAAAAAGAAGTCAGGTGAAGACAGGAAAGAGATAATTATTCAAACTTGAAATTCATAACTACATTAAAATTCCACATAATGTAGGTTACATCATAATTTCACTTCTTAGCTGCAGCTGTATAACACTCACCTAAAGGATTATTAGGAACACCATACTAATACTGTGTTTGACCACCTTTCACCTTCTGAACTGCCTTAATTCTACGTGGCATTGATTCAACAAGGTGCTGAAAGCATTCTTTAGAAATGTTGGCCCATATTGATAGGATAGCATCTTGCAGTTGATGGAGATTTGTGGGATGCACATCCAGCGCACAAAGCTCCCGTTCCACCACATCCCAAAGATGCTCTATTGGGTTGAGATCTGGTGACTGTGGGGGCCATTTTAGTACAGTGAACTCATTGTCATGTTCAAGAAACCAATTTGAAATGATTTGAGCTTTGTGACATGGTGCATTATCCTGCTGGAAGTAGCCATCAGAGGCCATAAAGGGATGGACATGGTCAGAAACAATGCTCAGGTAGGCCGTGGCATTTAAACGATGCCCAATTGGCACTAAGGGGCCTAAAGTGTGCCAAGAAAACATCCCCCACACCATTACACCACCACCACCAGCCTGCACAGTGGTAACAAGGCATGATGGATCCATGTTCTCATTCTGTTTACGCCAAATTCTGACTCTACCATCTGAATGTCTCAACAGAAATCGAGACTCATCAGACCAGGCAACATTTTTCCAGTCTTCAACTGTCCAATTTTGGTGAGCTCTTTGTAGCCTCTTTTTCCTATTTATAGAGGAGATGAGTGGTACCCGGTGGGGTCTTCTGCTGTTGTAGCCCATCCGCCTGCTTTGCTGCATACCTCGGTTTTAACGAGTGGTTATTTCAGTCAAAGTTGCTCTTCTATCAGCTTGAATCAGTCGGCCCATTCTCCTCTGACCTCTAGCATCAACAAGGCATTTTCGCCCACAAGACTGCCGCATACTGGATGTTTTTCCCTTTTCACACCATTCTTTGTAAACCCTAGAAATGGTTGTGCGTGAAAATCCCAGTAACTGAGCAGATTGTGAAATACTCAGACCGGCCCGTCTGGCACCAACAACCATGCCACGCTCAAAATTGCTTAAATCACCTTTCTTTCCCATTCTGACATTCATTTTGGAGTTCAGGAGATTGTCTTGACCAGGACCACACCCCTAAATGCATTGAAGCAACTGCCATGTGATTGGTTGATTAGATAATTGCATTAATGAGAAATTGAACAGGTGTTCCTAATCCTTTAGGTGAGTGTATGTGTTTGGTAGTCATCTTCATGTGGACTAATTGGAGTTTTAGACTTTTGTGAGGATATCTTTTGAAAATTAAGACACTTCTGGAAATTGATAACATTGTGTGCGTTTCAGACCTTCTCAAAGTTTCCTCGCAGCGTAGCAATGCGAGCAGAGTAGAAGAGAATGATTGAGCCCTGAAAAAAAAAAGAAGTAGTTTTTAGATTATTGATTTGTATTTGAACATATTTCCAATTACTTTGCAGCTTTTTGTTTCTAACTTTCATTTTTCTACAATTGAAACATAAACACTAAAATCATAGGTTTTAATTTGAGTTTAAATGTCTTTATGAGTCATTAGACTGGACGTGTATTATTTTCTTCAGAATTAGACTTTGTATAGTGGTGTGGATAGTTGGCTCACTTTGGGGTATTTGTGTTGGTACGGCTCTAGCAGAGCTTCAGCTTCCACAAGGTTCCCCTCTCCAGTTCCTGATCAAACACAATATCAACACCATTGTCTTCAGTCTTAATGTAATCACAAGCGGCCTGTACTGAGCATGAAAACACCCTGAGGACCTAATATAGTATAAACATTGTGAATACAGTACTTGTGCCAAAAAGGATTGGCCGCCAACCTTTGAATCGCTCAACAGAATTCAAGATACAGCTCTGGAGCTTGACTACTGTGGTGTAGTTAAAGTTTGATCTATCTATGGCAAAGGGCAAGTGCGTATGTGTGTTTTCCTACCAAGTATCAGTGACACATATGTGTGGTAGAAGAGCAGAGTCAGAGCGCTTAGGATCGACCTCAAACTGTGACTGGAAGCGCCCTCTCTCAGCTGAGACAAACCAAACCCCTGCAAAGAGAAAGGATTATTAGAATATTGTCATATTTTACAAAACAAGAGATTTTCACAGCTGCCTTTCTACAGGGTGTAACAGTTTATTGGGTGGAGTATCACTTTAAAGGGGATATACTGACCCTGTTTCCTGAGAATCCGATGAACTCCAACAACCTCAAAATCCTCTGAGGGAGCAGAGACAACATCTGAAAGAGAGATACAGATACAATACAAACACAATTGAATCATAATGATGAATCATTACACTGTATCTGTTTGAGTATTTCTAGTTTTGATTTGCCAATACGCTGATGACATACTCCTAATTTTGTAAATTCGGAAAAAGAGCAACAAAAAAACTAAAACATTAAATCACTAACTGACTCGATGACCAGTCATTTTTAAAACCATAAACAATATGTAACCACAAGCAAAGAAAATTCATAGAAAACATCTGGAGGTGAGTTTATTTAACTTTGCAGTGAGTGAACTTCTGCAGTGAAACTCCTCCCATCTGGGACTTCAGGCGGGGGAAAAAAAACAAATCCTCTTTGAAGACCCACCAGGTTGAAGGATCCGATGCCCAGCTTGACTCCGCCTTCAAATTGTTTGAACAAATCAGACTGGCCAGCCGCGTCCTCAGTGACATTCAGCACATTCTGACAGTCCCTATTGGACCACATGAAACATGATGTCACCATCAGGACAAGACAGAATCACAGTTTTATTTAAACTCAAATGTTAAACCTTTAATTTAAACGTTTCCATTCAGACACAATGTTTGGAAGCAAGATAAGCTTAATTTAAACAGAAGGATCTTTCAGGCTTTTTCTAATGTTACAGTGTAACGCTTTTAATCTTCACCTTGTTGCTGAGCCGAAGTAAATGACAAATATTATACAGTGGCTGATGGCCTTAAACAGTTACTCACTTGTAGATTTGGTAGCTTGTTCGAATCTTGATCCCTCCTTTGATAAAACTGATCATGTTCTCATCCTGGAAGAGAGGCAGAGAGGGACAAAATTACATTTTATTTAGTGACCTAACAGACTCATTAGCATCATCCAGAGCAGCGACTCCCAAAAAGATCTTCAAGTTCTCAAATTATTGTGGTTCATTAACTGGATGTAGTGTATTGTTACATTATCAATATGCCAAATTCTGTCCTTTATGTCCTGTTATGAGAATTAATGATGATGATGATGATGATGATGATGATGATGATGATGATGATGATGATGATGATGATGATATTCCACATTGAAGAATATCACCCTTGACAGACAGATAAAAACACACACAGTAGCTCTGACCTGTACAAACGTTAGCGTGGCTTTCTGCAGCAGACACTCAGCATAACAGATCTCTGCGTGCATCTCCTCTGCAAACATACAAATGCAGCACAGTGACTCTCTGCTGCTTTTGATTGTATTTTGTGTTTTCTGAGCTGCACTTCCTGCAGACCTCAGATATCAGTCAAACTGAGTGGGTGGGACATGTGTTAATGTACCTTCCTGCAGGTTGGACTGCTTGCTGATCAGACTGGACAGAGATCCAACTACAGAGTTCTTCTTCCTGAACCTGCAGAAACAGTTTGGTTTGAAGACTTGTTACTTGTTTTAAAGACACATACTCTTGTCCTATGGTCACATATCCACACAAGGTGAAATGCCATGAAAACACCCTAAATAAACACATTCAGTCATTATCTGCAATTTTAGTGAAAACTGAAGTGACAATTTTCCAGCAACTGCTGTAGTTTGAAGACAGATTAAAATGTGAAATTTGGCAAATTTTAGTTGTTTGCATTGGGAGGTTATTGCTACAATACAAATTCCACATGAACTATAATAATATATGATTCATTGAACAATATAATAAAAGGCATTTTATTGGAAAATGGAGGAAAAGTGACACCTGTAAGAGAGGTAGACGGTACATTTTTGACCAAAAACTTGCTTGCTTTGCCACATTACAAGAAAATGAACACTTCAATTAAAGATCACTCAAGTCAGTAAGATCAATCCTCTGGGAACAACCAATATCCGAACCAAGTTTTATGTCAATGCATCCCGTAGTTATTAAGATGTTTCTGTATTCCAAACTTTACGGCTCTTGGCTCTTTGAGACTGACACAAAATTTATCTCTCACCTCTGACAGGTGTTTAACGCCTCCTTGATGGTTGCCATGGCAGTCTGGATGTCTCTGTGCTCGAAGGTCATGGTCGCCTGCATCACCAGGATGCTGCTGTAACCCAACGCATGGTACATACTGTCCCTCCACCTACACACACACAAAGTACAGCGTACGAAAACCAAACATGGTAATTTGTAATACGTAATTGTAGGAATAACAGTGGCAATACTAGTACCAGCACTCTAGCTCAGTGGTAGGGATCACAGTAAAGTTGACAGCACAAATAGTAGTAACAGTAGTGGCAGTAACTGTGGAATGGGTAGTACTAGCAGTATCATTACCAGCAATATTAAAACTACCAATAATATTAATATCAGCACTACTAGTAGTAATTACAAGTAATTAATAGCAATAATAGTGCATGTGGTGGCACCAGTGTCAGTACCAGTGTCAGTTTTAGTAGTAGTTTTAGAACCAGTGGTAGCACCAATGGAAAAGGTACCATTAGCGGTAGTGAGTAATAGTACAAGTAGTATTACCTCTGTTAATGCTACCAGTAGCAGTATCAACAATAATAATAATAATACCACTTGCTGTACCAGTAGGCCTACCAATAGTATCAGATTGTAGGACCAGCAGTAATAATACTATTTGCAGCATCAGTGGAAATAACACCAGTATCAGTGCCATTTATGTTACCAGTAGCAGTACCAGTACAAATAGTACCAGTAAGAGTGCCATTAATGGTACTAGTAGCAGTACCAGTAGTAATATGGCGCTTTTCCATTACCAGTGCCAGTTCAACTCGCCTCGACTCGACGCTGTGGTAGTACTAGAAGTAATAACACCAGCAGTGGTAACACCTGCACAAGTAGCAGTAAAAATTCCTGATTACATTAACGAGCGCTGTAGTACAAATTGTGTTTTTTAAATAAAACAATACACTATAGCATGTATTACATAATAAACACACACATACACACAAACACTTGTTGCTGTGGTTACCATGGTTTGAGGAGGTCCAGGGCTTCAGAGAACTTGTCGTTGAGGACCAGATTGAGAGCGCACTGAGTCTCCTGGATGGCTGTCTGCAGGTCCATCTGACATGCCCTGCACACACACACACACACACACACACGTTTGTTCTCTCATTGACATTAATGCATTCCCTATGTAACCGACCCCGAGGCTGTACTGCACAGTCCTGACTCAAACTTGCAACCCCAGGCAGACGCGCTAATGAGGACGCTAAAACACTTGGGCGCTAGCGTCTTGTGTGCGTCTCTTAAGGTGTCGGAGAGTGAGGTTTACGCTCTGCACACAAAGTTACACCTAACTGTAGCTGTAACCCTCAAAAAGCGTCTCTACCCATGGGGACTTCAATATCCCATCAAGTCCCCATCGGTAAGTGTGTATTCAGGTTAACCACACCAAGAACATGAAACACACACACACACACACACACACACACACACACAGTAAAGATAAATCCACCAATCAGAACAGGAAGTGACTAAAAGCGAAAAGAGACGTAAAGAGACAGGAAGCTCACAGGAAATGATCTGTAAGATCATCTTCTCACACACACACACACACAATTCTAGACATCTCTACTCAGACACATCAGGCATGTGTGTGTGTGTATGTGTGTGTGTGTGTTAGTACTCACGCAGGTATTCGGTCGTAAGCATCTTCAAAGCAGTCCTGAGAAACACAGAAACACAGTCTGGTTACAGTCATTCTCCAAACAACCACAAATCTTAGCAGCTGCCTAATTGGATGACTGCTTGTGAAAGTAAAGTTAGTTACAGCTCGGTGTGACTGACGGATTCTGGAAAACAGGACTCATCAATGTTATTCTTAGTCATCCGCAACTTGTCTGGGTTATTCATTCCTTTCAGAACTATTCAGTGAGCTTATTCACAAATTTTGATGGTTATTCTAAACTTATCGGGGTCCTTTGGTCCTGGTAATTACAAATGAACCTGGTAACAGCTGATTTCTTGTTTTTGCCATTTTAGAGTTATTCCTGAATTTCAGGGATATTTGCTAATTATCAGAACTATTGCAGACTGTTTGACTGATCAACTTGATGTTGCTTTCCAGGCTTCTTAGGATTGTTCCCTAATTTCCAGTGTGATTTCTGATTTTTCAGGGTTAAATAAATTACTGAGAGCACTTCAATAGAGTCAGTTTCCTTGGAAACACCACCTAGTGGCCGCTAGAGAAACCGCAGCTGTTGTGGAGCCTGTTGACTGATTAAATCAAGTTTCTCTATGATTTCAAAGGTATCAGCTCTGCCTGAAGTCACACTGTTTGTTCAAGGAGTTTCCGCTTCATGAGATAACATTTTATAACCACACATACACGCACACACAGCCTCGTAGTACTATCCCTAACCCTACCCCTAATCTAATTCTACCCAGACCCTTAAACCAAGCCTTAACCCTCAAACAGCCCTTTAACCTGAAGGGATCCAGCATTTTGGTCCCCACAGATATAGTGGAATCACAATTTTTGGACCCCACAAATATAGTAAAACAAACACACAAACACACACACTTACAGAGTACTCAAAAAGACTATATTCCAACGCATTTTCTATTTTTGCATCAACATGTGAACTATGTGAAGTAACAGCATTGATTTGACACACACACACACACACACACACACACACACACAGTCTGTCTCTGGAGCCTCAGTAGCAGGAGGTTAATAATAGCATCAGTGGTTTCTTACATAACAGCGTACGGCTGCAGTCGCACACGCTCAGAGTGACTCTCTGCCTGCAGGCAGCAGCCATCGACCTACAACCAGGCTTCAGCCCTGTGACCCAGTTAAGCTCACTGAACAATCTGCTTCTCACAAAAGAGGCAATACCACTTCTTAAAATGTGATTATTTATGTATGTAACGTGTCATTAATGATGTGCATCAGAGCAAAATGTTACAATAATAACCACATGGTTAGGGCACAATGGCGGCGATGGTTAAAAAAATACAACAACCTAGACTGTCAGTTGCAAACGGCAGACTCTCATGTTAAAGTCCAGTGTTTTGTTGACCCATCCATCTACCCCGACCTCCTCCCACTGTGGACTTTGTGTCTCTATAACAACGTCAAACTACTTCCTCTTTTGTTCCCAGTGTAATGTAAACATATGCCGTTTTTGGCCATTTGAAATGTCCAATGTTCTAAATCTCAGGTCAGCCATTAGTAAACTAAAGGGTTCAGTATGCTTGAAACCAACTACTGTAGTTCATCTCATCCGACCACGCTTAAATGCAAAAGTGTTTCTACCCAAAAGGCCTGCTGTCTGCATCCCTAATCTCTAAACAACAATCCTGTGTCATGCATCCGCACAAAGCCTACACGGATTGGATGCTGTCTACCATTGGGAAATAAATATATATATTTCAAATTTTAAAGCCCTTAATCATCATTGCTCCTTAAATGCTAGGGTTGGATGTTCTGCTTTGTCCACATGTAGATCTAATCATTGGCACATTTTTATTTATGAGGCTATTCTTGGTCTGCTTTCATCATACAGATCTATTCTCCTCCCTGTGCCTGGATTTACCCAAATCTTCGGAAACTGGATGCATTCAAAGTCACACTGAACAAACGCAACACTTTTGTTTCTGCCCCCATTCATCATGAGCTGAACTCAAAGATCTGAGACTTTCTCTATGTATACTAAAGGCCTGTTTCTCTCTAATACTGTTCACAAATATGTCAGAAGTGAGCCCTTCTCCTTTGCCGAGATAATCCATCCACCTCAGAGGTGTGGCAATTCAAGATGCTGATCAGAGAGCATGGATATTGCACAGGTGTGCCACAGGTGTGCCATAGGCTGGCCACAATAAAAGGCCACTCTAAAAAGTCTTAGATCTTTGAGTTCAGCTTATGATGAATGGGGGCAAAAACAAATGTGTTGCGTTTATAACTTTGTTCAGTGTATGTTAAACGACTCGGAGGTAGGCACATCTGGCTGTAGATGTTCTGACTCATTGATCCATTTGATCCCTGATGTTGATGACTTGTGACAAATATTAATGAATATTTTTGACATTTTATAATCCTGTAATTTATTATTTCTTTTCACTGTAAAAGGTTTATATTTTTATATATTTTTATGTAACCGTGTTCATTTTGCTGCTGCCCGTCTCGGCCAGGGCGCTTTTGTAAAAGAGATTTTTGATCTTAATAAGACTTTTCCTGGTTAAATAAAGGTTATAATAAAAAATCTAATTAGCTTTATTGTCACATATCCAATCACTACAATGTCCACAGTACAACGTCTGTAAAATTTGTTCTCTGCATTTAACCTGTCTTAATTACCAGCAGTGGGCAGCAACTGTGCAGCGCTTGGGGACCAACACCAGATCTAAGCCAGTGCCTTGGTCAAGGTCACGGACTGTGACCTTGGGTGTCTTTGTGGTCTCGATGTGATGAATCATACAAATGTGGATGAGGTTGCAAGTCAAATCTGAGATGTCTCGAGACGAATAACAAGGTATTTTCATTTTTTTGTGCCAAATGAAACGGGAACAAAAGGAGCAATAAATGCCTGAGAGTCACAGTTCATGGCACGATTAGACTGAGCATACTTTGTCACAAAGATAAAAACCAGGAAGCAGAAGTTTTGATCTGTATCAGTTAACTGACTTGACTTTTGATAACTGAGTAGCTATTTCAGTTATTTATGAGGTACAAAACATTCAGCATCCAACACTTGCTTATTATTGGTTGTAGTTTGAGCTTTTCTCTGCTTATATCATTGTTAAAGTATCTTTTGACTGATGATCAAACAGAATGAGCAATATTTAAATATCACTCTGGTCACCTCATAATTATTGATTATTGAAAAAGTTAGACACAGAAGGATGCAGCTACAAAAATCCCTAAAGTTTAAGGTGTTGAAAAAATGAGTCATTTCTTAAAGGACAACTAAGAGAAATTCAATTGGAAACCTTAATGCTAATTCTAACTTCCTTTTTTTTGCTTAACAAGGCTTTAAACTGTTTTACATGATCCTGAGAAAGGAAGGAAAGAAGGAGTCAGAGGAGGAAGGCAGCGAGGAGGTAAAGAAGGAGGGAGTGAGGAGATGGAAAGCAGAAAGAAGGAATAAAGAAAATATGGAGGATGGTTGAAACCGGCAGAAGAATCTCACAAACGTGTGCAAACAAATGTGTGTGTAAATCCAAACAGACGCTCTCTGCGCACACACTCGTCCTCTCTTTTCACACTTTCAGCCCTCTCTCTCTCTCCCCCATACAAACAGATGCTCTCTCCGACATCGCCTCACACTCTGTCACTGTTTTTGTCAGTTTGCAACATTCACAGCATTCCAGACAGAAACGCCATAAGCTCCCGCTGCGTTTGTGTGTGTGTGTGTGTGTGTTATTATAGATGAATGCAGTTTTAAGCTGCCGGTCCAGTACATTAACTCACATCACAAATAGAAAATGAACATGATGGGCGAAGTTTGGCAGTGTGGAGTGTTGAGAAGATACAGGATTTTCTGCAGCTATAGTTTAACAAGATGTTTTTAATAATGGGATTATAATACGTAAAAAGCAACTTAATATAGGTCTGCAAGCAGCGGTTGAAGAAGTATAATATAAAAGTACTGATACTGTGAAAATACTCCACTACAAGTAGAAGTCCTCCATTCAAACCATACCTAAGTAAAAGTATATACATTTTATCAGCAAAATGTACTTAAAGTATCAAAGTAAAATAGTACTCATAGTGCAGTAACATTTTCAGTGTTTCACTATAATATCTGATATTTCTGGATAATAATAAATAAATTAATAAAGCTGCTATGTTAATGTGTATGTTGCCTTTTACGGCTGTAGATGTTTACGGTTGAGCTAATTTTTTCTCCTTTATATCCTGTTGGGTAGTTTCACACACAGCAATGCATCATGGTTGCACCAATTCACTGACACACAAATTAAGAAAACCGTTATCTGTGGCAGGACTGTAGTAAACACGGCCAATTATTTAATTTGGTCCTAATTTAAAGAAAAAAACTGCCTCAAAATCCAGAAAGTTTTCTGTGGAATTTCCATTAAATTAAAAAAAATTTGACATATTCATTTTCTAAATATACTACATCTCTTGAATTATGTTTTTAATGGCAGTAAAAGTTATAAACCACGATTTACCTTATCGTGTTCATAATCCTGAAAACATTACAACCTGTTAGCTTTCCAAACAACTGCACGCAAAAATCTAAATGTCATTGTATTTTACACTATTTCCCATTCATTGTATATTATACAAGTGTTTATGCATAATTAAAATATTAATCTGTCATGCTTTATTTTATTTGGTATTCATAAGTGTATTCTATGCCACTGTCTTAATATAAGTTGTATTATATAGACTTAAATTTCTAATGGCTTTTTACTTATTGTGTCGTATTCTTAATTAGTACTTTAACATAGTTTTTGTCTATCCTATCGGTTTCATTCTATTTCTAGCACTGCTGTAATGCCTACTGTCTCACCTGGAAATAAATTAAGTCTTATATTAACTCTTAATCAGAAGTTAGCAACATTATACACCTAACCAAATTTACGTAGCCATTTGCAGTTTGATGTTGTATATCTTGTGGTTTTTATGTGTGGGTGACTTTTGACTGTGAATTTTAGTTAAATAATCATTTGACCTGATAACTGACAGAGAAG